TTATACCAGAGAACAAAACAAATCAAAAATCCTTAATCTTGTTGAGTTCATAATGTACATGGCACTTCATTATTTTCAACTATATTGAATTAATCATGTGTGCACGTGTGTGTGTGTGTGTGTGTGTGTGTGTGTGTGTGTGTGTAAGGGGAACAGAGGAGAGAGAAACACTCATCCATATCAGTCATAATTTACTTTTGAAGACTGTAGACACAAACCTATAGACACATGAGCAGAGATTGAAACTAATCAGTCAAAAGTATTTATTGAATGCCTTCTATGTGTAATATGTTCCATACCAAGACCAAGTACCGAACAAGTCACTGCTCTGTTAGTTTTGCATCTTTGTGGAAAAATACCTGAGATGATTAACTTCTAAGGAGGAAAGTGTTATATTGGCTTATGATTTCAGAGGTTTCAATCCATAGTCTATGGTCTCATTGCTTTTGGGCCTATAATATATCATGACAAAAGTATATAGCTTTGGAGATCTGTTCACCTCATGGGAGCCAAGAAGAAAAAAGAGAGGAAGAGATGGGAGTTGTGTCCCAATTTCTCCTTCAAAGACATGCCTCCAATGACCTAGATTTCTTCCACAAAACCCCACCTATTAAAGGCTCTACCATCTCCCAATGGCACCATCAACTGGGGACCAAAACTTTTAACATATGGAACTTTTGGGGTCATTCATGATTCAAAGTATAACAGGTCCTACCCTCATGGAGCCCATAGTCTAATGATCACAAAGCCCTCTTCCTTCCAGGGGAAGGAATTTTATGAGCTCTGAGAAACTGCCTAAATGCAAAATGGTGCCTGGCCACCATCAAGAGATGGTAAGATGCATTATTATTATACAGGAGGAGACAGGGAAGAAAAAACTCAGGTCTATGATCTGAAAACCTTGATTTAAATGCCTCATAATCATGTCAACTTCAGAGCAACAGCCTACAAAGAGATGCTCATGTCTGCCTGGACTTTGGTGGGATGAGGAATTTGGATGAGGCTGTATTTGYAGCTGAATCTCCAACTTCTTACCCCCCAAACAATGGAATTGTCATAGTGGAAACTAAACTATTTGTATTACAGGAAATAGTGAATATTTTTGACCACCACCATTTCTATAACCTACTTGAAGTTAATGTCCCAGGTTCATATTGGGTTTTAAAAGGCAAAGGAGGGAAAGCAGGCTGCCCAAGTATTGAGACTGTTCACCCCCAACACCAACACCACCCCTTCCAGCTGCCCAAAGACCAGACATACTAATTGAATTGTGTCCCACATGTTACACAAGTTAGCAACAGCCTACTCCAGGACCACTGATTACACTTCACAATCAGGGGCATTTTGACCCACACATCTGATAGGACAGGGGCTTTGTTTCTCACATGTTCTTTCTTCAATGARCCTCACAGTGAAACGTGACCATCTACCCTCATTGTTTGGATGCCACCTACACCAATGGTTTTCCTGYCAAAAGTAAACAATAAGCTAAATTAAGTGAAATGTTTCCTATYCCCAACTGTCAGTTGCCAGCAGAAAATAGTTTTGCTAATGAGAAAAGTGAGCTGCCAGTTCTGGCAATGCTAAGCAGCTTTGTGAAAAGGCTGTTAAGAAAATGGAGACAGAACTGTAGCACTGATTTGGGTTTGGGGGTGAGCCCAGACGAAGGTAGGCACACAGAGCACATAGGGAGATGTGAGCTCAGTGGCCTCTGTCATTCATTGCTGTCATGATGGGAGCAGCATCTTGTTACTCCAGATGTCTGATTATAAATCAGCAATGGTGAGAAGAGCCCCAGCAATTTTTGCTTACCAACCAACAAGGGGTGAAGTATGTTCCGACAACATTTTAGAAAATATGACRTGTGACTGAAGCATGCTATGTTCAAATCCCCAGTGATATCCATTGAATCACCCCCACTGCCAACCTCCATCTAAGGTAAGAAGTCAACATATGGATGTGGCACCCACACACAGAGAAGGAGACATTTATTGCTCCATCATTTTCTCTTTCCTAAWGATAATACTTTGCATGTTTGTTTACATCTTGGTATATAACATCATTTAGAATTTAAAATCTCCAAAAAGTTGTAGAGGTCAAAGGCACACTCCCTACCACCCAGTTCTTCTCCCTTGAGCATAATGTGCTCACTGTTCTTAACCTTGCTTTTTGTGCTCAGTAGCATATCTTGGAAAACTTTCTATATCAGTGCCTATGACAGTATTCTATTGCACAGACACTGTAATTCATGTAACCAGGCCCTTGCTGATGAACACTTAGCRATTTGCTATTAGAAGTAGTGCCATGGTGGCTGTCCTTGTATGTGTAGCATCGTTGCTTGCTCTCAAGGACAGCTGTAGCATGAATTTTGTAGTGCAGTACATCCTTTTCCATTATGTAATCTTTCACGTTTGTGGACAAAGGCCAAATCAAATCATCCCAACCTCCCTTTCCTCTTCTTATAAAACGATACTTGACCACATCTGTGTATCCCTTTGTCCCACAATCCCCAGACAGGGAAAAGAAGAGTCATAAGTCCTTCATGCCATCTCCCTCCTCACAGTCTCTTAATAAGCATGGCTCTTTTGAAGCCAATTGAACTAAATGAAAAGCACTAGAAAGAGCAGGGAACCAGGATGAGCTTTTCCAGGAACAGTAGACTGTGCAAAWACTCAATATTATTTTTCCTCCCTGCTGTTTGCACACTGTTTGAAAATAACAAAGAAGTTCTCAGAAACTATGAGAGAGAAGAGGGGCCTTCAGGTCAACAAAAACTTACCACAAGCACTTCAATCTTAAGCGTGAGCTTTTAAAAATCCAGTTGGCACAAGAAAAAAATAAAGTATTACTAGTGAATGTAGCATGTTTGATTTGTTCTTTGAGCCAAATCATAGATTTTTAGGATATTGGAAAAAAATTATTGTCCCAATGATGTAGGTACCTTTCTTCCTTCTCCTGCTTCCAAATGGGCATCCAAACATGTCCGTGGTATGACCAGAACTGAGAAAGAAAGGGAAGCACACACTGTGGCCAGACTAGACGGAAGCCCCTGTGATATTTGAGAATTTCTCTTTTACTAATATTATTTCTTAATTTTCCTTTAGGCCCTTTGTAGTCAACAACCCCGTGAAGACCTCGTCCCAGGCAACCAATGATCTTTCTTTCACTGTCGATTACTTTTGGCTTTCAATAAGCATTCAGCATTCATGTTGTTGTATATATTACTTCCATTTTCTTTTTCTTGCAGAGCAGCATTTTATTTTATAGATATTCATACTGTGTCCATTTTCCTACTGAAGGACATTTGAGTTGTYTTAAGTGTGGGGCTATTCAGAGTAAAGCTGTTATAAATATTCATGTACAGTATTTGGGGGGTCATGTGTTTTTATAATTCTCTTAGGAAAATTGCTGGTTCAAACAGGCAGCATGTATTAACTTGATGAGAATCTGCCATAAAACAGCATGGCTGTGTCCTTTTGCGTTCCTACCAGCAATACACGAGTTTCCATTGCATTGTAATTTTGCCATACTTCGTGTTGTCAGTCTTTTTAAACTTTAGCCATTTTAGTAAATGTATAGTGGTATCTCATTGTTTTTCATTTGCATTTCCCTGGTGGCTAATGATGTTGAGCACCTTTTCATGAGCTTCTTGTTCATTTGCATCTTTTGTGAAGTATCCAAATCTCTCCACCCATTTTTCTTTGGGTATTTGTCTTCTTATCGAGTAATAGCAGTTCTTTATATATTTTGAATAAGTTCTTTGTCAAATAAATGTAATGTGAACATTTTCTGGGACCAATTTTGTATCTCCACAAACTAGTACTACACCTGACACACTGTAGCAGGTGGCCAGGTCCTATGGAATATTGGAAATTATCAATGAGCAGGAAGTACCATTTTTAGAAACCAAGGTCACCAATTCAAAGTCCATTGTAGAGCATTTCTTGAATCTACACAGCCCTCTTCACCCTCTCTCAAAATTCAAGGGGAGGGCTAGGGATGTGGCTCAAGTGGTAGTGTGCTCGCCTGGCATGAGTGAGGCCCAGGTTCGATCTTCAGCACCAAATACAAACAAAGATGTTGTGTCCGCTGAAAACTAAAAAATTAATATTAAAATTCTCTCTCTCTCTCTCTCTCTCTCTCTCTCTCTCTCTCTCTCTCTCTAAAAGAAAAAAAAAATTCAAGGGGAGGTGGTAAAAACTGCCCAGGAAACAATGGGTATTTGGCACTATATGCTGTGCATTTATGTGTTAATATCAGTTCTGTAGTCAAAATACAAAGCCAAGTTGGGATGTCAGGTTTCTTACGCTGGGTCAGATCATGGATCCATTGGTGTTTATGCTTGCTTGCAGATTCGTTCCGAGACAATTGCCACTTATGCCCTCTGTGGGTTTGCCAACTTTGGTTCCCTAGGAATGATGATCGGTGGACTTGGTAAGTGAAAAGATATTCTTCTACAACAGATGTAACATAAACATACTTTGGATCTCCATCTCACTCCATCTCACTCACATCTTATTCATGTCAGGAGAAAAGTTACCCTCGATAGTAGAAAATCCTCTGGGGTCTATTTTTTATCCCCACTCTACAAGATAGATTTCCTCCTTACACCCAACTAGCCTCAGAAACAATATCCTCAAACTTACAGATGCCTCTACCAATCCAAAGTAACACAGAAGTTTCACTTGTATACTAACACTAGTAGATTAACTGATTGATTTTTATTTTGTGGTGGATTGAACCCAGAGTTACTCTACCACTGAGCCATACCCCCAGCCCTTTAATTTTTTTGCTTTGAGACAGAACCTTGCTAAGTTGTCTGGGATGGTCTCACAGTTGTTATCCTCCTGCATCAGCCTCCTGAGTAGCTAGGATTACAGGCGTGTACCATTATGTATGGATTTATAATACCTCCCTGCAGAAGGATTCTGGGGACCAATCAAAGATTGGTGGGAAAATGCTGTGATTTATGAGTGATGTCTCCCACAGGCATGGAAATAGTTAGTGACAGTTGAGTCACCATCTCAGACCATCTCATCAATCCATCCCTCCATGCATCCCCTTTGATTTGCCATGCTCTCCATGCTCTCTGAGCCCTTTGGATAAAACTAAGGACTTGTTTCCTTCCAACTGACCTGAAACTCCAATATCAGAACACTTTTTAGAGGCTACAAATTTGGATTTCTAATGAGTAGAATCTACATTAATCTCAAACAGCTCCTTTCATGTCTCCCAGCCTCTCTAGCGCCTGGTAGAAAGCGGGACATCTCCGCTGGAGCAATAAGATCTCTGATCGCAGGGACTGTTGCCTGCTTCATGACAGCCTGTGTCGCAGGTACTACATCCTGTCCTTGTGTCCTGGGTACCCATGGAAGGCAGCTTTCAGGAAAGCAAGGTCTCCAATCCTTATATGCAGCATATGCTGCTGCAGAAAGCTGAGAGTCAGAGCTGCCATTAAGCGTATTGTAAATTTAAATGTGTGGYGTGGAGGCGGCTGGGGAGAAACTTAGAACAGAAGGAGAGTTYGGTGACTTCACTAATTATGAAAATAAATGGCACTCTGTTCCACTTCTAGGCATACTCTCTGGCACCCCCGAGGACATCAACTGCCATCACATTTTAGAGAMTGCCTTCAGCTCCAGTTTACCTGGCAACGCAACCACAGTGGTGTCTTGTTGCCAAACTCTGTTGAGCAGGTATTACAATTTTTGTTAATAAAACTATTTTTCTTTTATTTTTATATTGTTATTGGTACACTGCAATTATACATGAGTAGAATTCATTGTTACGTATTTGTACACGCACACAGTATAACAATATGATCTGGTCAATTTCACTCCCAATATCTTCCCTTCCCCTTTCCTCTTCCCTTCCACTCCTGTGCTAGTCTCCTTAGGTGTTGTACTCTTGATTATAACTTCTCTATACTTGCTTATTAATAGTCAAATCAATCTTAAGACTTCCACTTACTTTTATAACTCTTATTTTAACATAAGACTGAACATCAATTATATCAACATTTCACTTTGACTTTTCTCAGATAAGACTAGGAACTAAAATTCTCAATAGTACTGTTCAGGTATTTAATATGTACCCAGCTATACATCTGTCACTTCGTATGAATTATGTCACTTACAACTTGCAATCACTGTATGTTGAGCACTATTACTTTTTTTTTCTTTTTTTGCATTTGATATAGCAGAGGCTTAGGGAGGTTATGTCCACTCAAGAAAAATTAGTACCAGCACAACCAAGATAATTCATGCCCATCTACCCACAAAGATAATTCATGCCCATCCACCCATGCTCCACCTGCTACTGCCTCCCTTCCAAGGGGATCAAAACTATCCATCTGACAACATGGTGATAGACTATAGTGGATAAGCAGCCACCATGGACCCATGCAGCCATCTCCACCTTCTATGGTTTCTTCTCACAAAATCAGTATCCCCACCATCCCATCAGCTGTCTTTTATGTGCAGGTGCATTACAAAGATTGATTCTATCTCTGCTTCTTCTGGTAAATAGGAAAAATCTTTGAAGTCACACAGAATTTGAGAGCCAAAATTAATTCCCCCATGCCTGTCTGTAACTGTCTTTAACTCACCCTAACCAGAATGTGAGGGGGGAAAAATCAGCTTTCTGCCCTGTGCCTTGCTTTTTTTTTTTTTGGCAGGGGGCGTGGTTTATGGGTACCAGGGGTGCCTTACCACTGAGCTATATCCCCAGCCCTTTATATTTTTTATTTTGAGACAGGGTCTCACTAAGCTGTTGAGAGTCGCACTAAGTTGCTGAAGCTGGCTTCAAACTTATTCCTCCTGAGTTTCTGGAATGCAAGAAGGGTGCACCACAGTGTCCCATTCCTGTGACATTTTTAATGTGTCACCTTCTGCTCACCCATTGTTTCTGCTGTACAAGGCTCAACTAACGGTTTCATTCTACTTTCCACCAGCACTACTGCCAAGGAGCCTGGTGGGGTCATCCCAGGAGGAAACTACAACCTGTACTTTGTGAAGGGCTGCTGCAAATTGTTGAATCCACCAACACTGAACTGCAGTTGGATCCCTGACACATTTTGAATTCTACCACTTCCCCATTGGAACTCTGAGTGAAGATGTTGAGCTATTGTCTACAGATTAATAAATTTAATCATGGAATCAAGTTTAATTGCAAGGAAAGAAGAAAAATTAAGAGTGAACCTTCCAGAGCTATAACATCTCCCTGCTTCCCTTCCCTCCCCAACGCACCTTCTCCACACTGTGACCAACTATGATGTCTCCAACTGAGGTATCATCTCCACTCTCAACAATGTCTTCTAACCTTACATTTTTAAGGTATTTCATGACAATACAGGTTTAAACAGTAGCTCTCAACAACACGGCTGTGWCTCAGCCAYATCTYCTTAGTATGCTAAATGGKCCCAGAGTGACTTGTTTTAAACACATCTCAGGTGACATCACTCTGCATTCACCCTAACTTCCCTGAAATAATTTGAACTTGAATTTCACCCCAAAGGAAGGCTGATCAGCAAACACCTACTGATTGTCTACCATCCAGAGGTCCYACCTAAATCCAGAGTTCTTCAGAAAAGCATGTAGACCATAYMAGAATAAGGATTTAAATTCTGTAATCTTGGAGAGTTGTATCAATCAGTTTAAGTTAAGTTATACTGCAGTAACAAACAATCACAATAACTTGTAGCTAAATTTATCTTTCACTCATATTATGTTTGTAATGGTCAACTTTGGCTTAATCTATATTTTCTTAATTTCCAGGATGCAGGCTAAAGAAGCAGCCTTTGTGTGGGTGGGGCATGCTGGTATTAGAGAGGGAAAAGAAAGGTAGGGATAACATGATGGTTCTTAAAATTTCTGCTAGTGGAAGTGACACCATTCACTTGCCYTATATTCCATTACCCAGAAGAAGTCCTATGGGAAATATAATGTCTGTGACCATACATGAATTATCCTATCAAAGAGAAGGATGGTGAGTATTTTACAAGAATAATATGATACTACAGAGTACATGATATCTATTCTTCCTTCAAGGAGTCARCTTGTTACAGGACATAATGGTAGGCCTATTCATGTGCAAATTTAGTWATATTCCTGGTGACAAGACTGGAAAGCAATCTTCATCCAAAAAAATCCATATAAGGACTAATCAAGAAGAAAAATAAGTTCTTGTTCAGWTCTGAACAACTTCATTGATATTTCCATTGACTAGAGAGGTGTCAACATCAAACTTGCTAACTGGGTCTCAGAAAATGTCAKAGATGATGGTGGTTTCCTTTAATGACATGCTCATCACTGATGCTCTTAATATTCCAAAGAACACATTGTGTGAGAAAACACCAATGCCTCTGAGTCAAAAAGTGACTCACAGAGAAGAGATTTTGAATGTGACAAAGTTCTGATACCTTAAGCAATTTGTTTCTTTTTTTTTTTTCATCTGTTCATGCACAGGAGTTATTCTTTTTTTAAAAAAATCATGAGTAAACAGTTGTGTTRTTTTGCTGTTCTTTTGGTTTTGGGTTGTTAGACGTGAAGGAGTGATCTCAAAGGACTCTTTATCCTTTATATTTTGGTAAATATACCAAAATATTTCTAATTTTTTATTTGTATCCATTTTTCTTGGGATCCAATATGCCCTTTCAGTCTTTACACTTTATTTTAGGAAAATGTATTTGCATGTCTTTTTGGTTTCAGGCTTCATTATAACATAGGACAATATGTCAAAACTGCCAATAATTCACATGTTGGTTCTCCTTTCTCAGTTATGGCTATGTAATGACAAAAGATAGAGTTTAAAAATTGGTTGGCTATTAGAGAGCCTCAGGAATGAAATGGACTGGAAGAATCCAAAGAGTTAAAAAGAATTAGGAAATCTTTTGTCATTACTATTCTTTAAATATTTGTAACTCTCCTCTAAGCTTGTTTTTTTTACATAATTGCTACTCTGCTTATTATTAAGTTTGTCTTTTCAAAGTGTAAAATTAGTCATCTTTAATAAAAAATGAAGATTGTATAAACATAGCTAAACATATTTCTCCCTACCCTGTTTACCTGGCTCTTCTGCCATTACCACACCCCCAGGCTGTCACTGTTAATTGACTAGCACACACACCTTTCTCCTTGCTTATACAAATGGTTTATTAGAATGCGGGGGATTTATTGTTGGTGAACAAATGGAATGACTCTATTTACACATTATCTTTAACTTCCTTCTTTTTAGTTGGCAATAAACATGGACATTCCTGCAAGTTATTTATAATTCTAACTTTATCCTTCCCTTCTCCCTATTTATTGTATGTGTATCACACATATATGTACAATTCTATATAAATGATATAATATACATACTGGGGGAGGGATGGAGTTGGACACATGCTATAATTCAGGTCTTGAATGTTACCCAAAGATCCATGTGGTGAAGGCGTGGTCCCCAGCCCTTGACACTGTTGGGAAATGGTGGAATCTTTAGGAGGTGGGGCTTGGTAGAAGGAAGTTAGGTCCTTGGGGGCATGTACCCAAAGGGGATATTAGAACCTTGGCCTCTTTCTCTTCCTCTCCTTATGCTTCCCAGCCATCATGAGGTGAACAAACCTCTTCCACCGCATGTTCCTACTATAATGTACTATGCCACCACAGGATTAAAACAACAGGACCACATAAGCGTGGACTAAAACCTCTGAAATCATGAGCCAAAAGAAACCTTTATTCCTTTAGAGTTGATTACCTCAGTTGTTTGGTCTCAGTAACAGAAAGCAAACTAACACATTTTTTTCTCTTTACTTTCTTCCCTTCCACTATCCTGACTCACCATATACAGGAAACCTGGGTTAAATAACCCGAAACAGGGTCACTATATTTTTTTTTCAATATCAGGCCATATTTTACAAACATAGACATCTATTGAGGATTGGTATAGTAGTTTTACAAAACTTGGGTTACTGACATGTCTATTAATTTGCTTTTCTTCCATGATAATGTTTGTAGATATTTCTTCAATCTTATTGGAAAAACTTTAACTCATTGTAGCCTAATTCGTTATAAGCATAGTGTGTGTGTGTATGTGTATATATTATATCTAATATATATATATATTAGATATAATGTATAACATATATACCTACATCACATATATATGCATATACACATATATATATATATATATATAGAGAGAGAGAGAGAGAGAGAGAAAGGGGGAGAGAGAGAGAGAGAGAGAGAGAAACAAATCATTCTTCTGTGGACATCCATTCACTTTAATTCCAGATTTTGCCTTTGGGGTTATTTTTATTTTGTTTTCTACTTTGAACATTGTGTATATATTTTCTTTACATTCCAATGATTTTGTTTCCTATAACATGCTGACTCATAGAAAGACAGTGAAAATTATATACATTTTAAGATTTTCTAATAGCTACATTTAAAAAAAATAAAAAGAAAACAGTAAAATTAAATTTCATAATATATATTTAACCCAAATAGCAAAGATATCATTTCAATTACATATTTTATATTCTTATCAAACGAGGTCTTCAAAATCTGATATGCATATCTCATTTGAGGCCCCAAACTTTTATTGGATTATGTTTACATTTCATAAAATTAAAAGTTAAAAAATAAATTCATATGCCCAGGTTGGTCTAAACATGCTTAAAAGTTTTCCAATAACTAAAATAAGTGTCAGTTTTTAGCTTAAAATTAAATTTTTAGTTACTCAGTTACTCCATATTTCAAATACTAGTGGCTACCATATTGGGCAGAAAAGTTCTAAAGGATTTCTTAGGTGAAATGAAGTGTATGTGTATTTTGGTATAATGCATGATTCCAGATTGCTTTTCAGAGAAATATGGCGTCTTAATTTGTACCTACTATAGTAGAATTTCTGCAGTGTTTTGGTGATCTTTGTGTGTGTGTGTGTGTGTGTGTACGCGCGCGCGCGGGCGCATGTGTGTATTAGAAATTTTTAAAATTTTAAACATGATGCAGTGTTCACATAAGTCAATATGTTGGTTCCTTTTTAATATTGTCCATCCTTAAACTGAGAAAGGCTAGTAAGGCTAAGCTCCAGGCAAATGAGCTGGTGGGCACTTTGAGCTTGTTGCCTCCAGAAATCTTATCAATACCCTTGATACTGTACTGGCTGGTTATTTCCCTTTTCCCAGGGAAACCACCTAATGGAGTTGTTTGGTGTCTGGCTAATTCCTTCATTCCTCTCTAGCAGACTTAGAAACTAAAGGAATGTCTGTTCTCACAGTTGATCCTTCACCCACCCCTCATAGTTGGCTGAGATTGTGTCTGTATTTCTTATGTGTCTGAAGCTGCAGGGTACTGACAGGAAGGGCTTTGCTCTCAGTCCAGCACCCTGATCTGTTTCAAGTCAAAGTTGTGGCATTTACTCTGGAGGATTCTGCACCCATGAGATTCAAAGTTCCCAGCCCTTCTTCACTGATACAGTTTTCACTAATCTGAAAGCCTCTTTCCACACACAGTATTATGTTTACAGAGATGAGTATTTCCTAATTTCAACAAAAATGGAAATTTGCATTACTACTTCTTATTCTTTTTATTTTTCAATTGGTTTGCAAAAAGATAAGGAAGGACAGAAATAATATTTCTCTACTCAAGCCAGAAACTATGGTTATAAACAAATTCTCTGATCCTGGAAAAGGCTTTGAGTCTCAGCCAAGAATAGATTGGAGTTAGGAGATATGGAAAAATTGTCTCTGATTTTTTTCCATTGAAAATCAACATATCCAAGCAGTGAGAGTGGAGTGACAAAGTATTTATAATTACATAGATTACTAATATTCATTCATTTTGTAGATGTTCCACCTAATTGCTTTTATGTTTCTGTAGTTTAATTATACAGGTAGGACATTGTGAAGAGTTTATAATTTGCACTTGCCCAAAGAGACTAGTTTCCAGTTATAAAACAATTCCAAAAATCAGGCACACTTATAAAAAAGGTATTTAAGGCCAACAAGGACACAGTATACTAGGAAGGATTAAATTACCCTGAATGTGTTAGAGTGAGGGAAAGGGAGGTGATCATTTGCATGGAGCTCAGGAGTCCAGTTCAGGTGTGCCATATGGTACAAATGAACCACATGTTCCTGATGAGAAAGGCTATTTTTTACAGCCTCTTACTTAATTTTGTTTTAAGCTCAAACTGGAAGAAAAGTATTCACTTACCCATTCCTTTTCTGGCTCTAGTGGCCATACAAGTTTGTGATAATTGTATTTTCCTTTATGTCACAGTACTCACTGTAATGTGAGTACTTTCAACCCTGGTCATTCATGGACTACTTTGCATTTTCATTTCAAGACTCTAGAAATCAGACAATGACTCTGAATCAAGTCAACCCTTCTTAACCACTATGCATTTTGAAAAATAGGAGAACAGTAACTGGTATGAAGACTAGTAGCCATGGAACAGAGGCAAGTACTCAAATGATAACCTTGAAATTCAGTCCTCTGGCAACTGACAATCAACCATTTCACTATGAGAAGCCAAGATTATATCTCACAGGCCATATATGCAAGCTAAATCAGGGTCTACATCTTCTTTGTGCAAGGTGTGCTTCCAGTCATATTCAAAAAGTAAGAGGATAGAAGAACCTTAGGTTGGTCATCCAGAAAAGCTTCATCTTCTCCTCCCAATTCCTAGTAATGTGCTATCATCAAACTCAGAGATCACCATGGCAGCAGACAGAGTTGAGGCAGGATTCCCAGGCCTAATTTAAATTCCTTTCACTGCAGGGTACCTTTCCCTCTCCATAATTGCCTTCCTAGATGTCTGACCACTAGAATACCAGTTCCTTTGTATCCCTCCTACCTAGCGCCTTGCATCCAGTAGATGATGGCTACCTGCAGGAAATAAGAACAGATAACTGGATCACTATTATAAAATCTCATCAAAACACATACTCATTACCAATAATAAGCAAGTATATAATGAAGAAACTGGAAATCTTCTCACCTTAATTTCATTACCCATTGTCAGCCATAGTTAATACTTTGGTATACCTGTTAATTCTTCTCAATGTATGATAAACAATACAGCCAGTTACAATGATCAAAGTAAAGTGGATGAGTCTTCCTTCACACCCAATGACTGAAACAC